TCAATATTTTGTTCATCCTTTCATTAACACCATTTTGTCTTACCTTATCAGGAAATGTCTTTGTTAACTTAATTTCTTCAGCGGCACAAAATACTTTGAATTCTGACTTGTCGTGCTCTCCTACATTGTCAGACCTCATACATTTGATATTCAAGCTGGTTTGATTTTTAACTTTAACTTTCCACTTCTTAAATGTGTCAAACACATCTGACTTGTGTTTTAGGAAATAAATCCTTACCTTCTTGCTGAAATCATTGATGAACATGACGTAACACTTTGATCCACCGAGTGATGGAATTATAGATGGTCTCCAAATGTCTGTATGAACCGTTTTCGATTGCACTTTTTTTAGTTCTTTGGCAGCCTTTGTGAAATTAACTCGTTTTTGTTTGTCCATAACATAGCTCACACAAGGACCCATATCAATAGATTTCAGATCTTCATTCATTTGACACTAATATGCCTAAGTTTATTGTGTCATACATTTGAATTGGGAGCACTCTCAGCAACAATTATAACGACCTTAGATTTCTACTTACCTAAAGTCGTTACCATCATCATAGCGTAATCCTTAATATGTGAAAATAACGTTTAAACTTCTTCATAAAACATAAACATTATCTTAAAATAATGTTATGGACTTACGTGTTCAAAAACATCTTTTAACACAATAAAATACTAAATAAATATTTAAATTAAAAACATTCTAATAGCCTAACTCTAAGAAAATAAATGTGACTACCCTATGCATGTGTCATGCTCTCGAGTTGCGATGTCATCGTCAGACGTACAGGGATGCTCTGCCTTTACCTGAAATAGAAGTAACATGTGGCTTGAGTATTTAAAGAAATACTCAATAAGTGACCCCACTATTGGGGTTGAATGCAAACACATGTAATTTCATGATTGAGACCTATCATAAAAGTTTATTTTCCTACAGCAGCTATCCTAATGGGAAATCGGGACGTGTACTTAATTTTCCTACACATGGTCCACATATGCGAGTATGGACCCACCATTCGGTTCGCACACCACTTGGGCCTCCTTTTTGGTTGGGTCTAGGTGATATGAATCCAACAACTGATCACTTCCATGTACCCGAACGAGCAATTACAAGAAGCAATACAAAGAAAATTCAAGAATCAAATCAAGAAAATAATGGAGTGGCTGATATTGGAAAGTGATTAGAAGACTTGTCATTGGTAGTTGAACTACCAATTAAAACAATTTATGAATGCCTTATTTTCTTCCATTTATATTTAATAGCATTTATTAATAGTTTGTATGAATGCCTTATTTTCCTTAATTTGTATTTAATAACATTTATTAGTGATTTGTGGTTGGTGGCTGAACTTTATTATGTTAGTAATATTCATGTTTAGATGAGTTATTGAATACAGACTTCATGTTTTCTTAATACCCTTTTGGTGTTATTCTTTTTCAAACCTTACTTTAGGTTTGATGTTTAAACCGATTCATTAAATTAGTTTTGATCAAGCTAATTTTGGAGTGAATTGTCTTGGTATCTAAGAGTGACCATCATAGATTCCAAGTTCGATCTAAGAGTCATTCATCTTCTAACCAGCTCTTGGTTGGAATCAATCCGTTAACTTAACTTTCTCTGTGAACGTTTTGCAAGGATTCTAAAAGGACCTCTAGCTTTGCAAAATCCAGCATTGTTGACGCTTATCACTAAGTGGACGTAGAGGACTTATGCGAGAATCATTTACTCCTAAAAAGTCCGTACTTAACTCATATGAGTATTATTACTCAAGCGATCTATGTGACAGGGCGTCTCACTGTGAGGAAAGACCTATGTTGGCCACATGAGATGAAACTACAAGGTTATTTTTGGTGAGGCAATAAAGACCGTGAGGTCTTGGCAAGGTCAGGATAACGTTGTATGAGAATCAAAGAGAGGGACATACCGAAGACTGCTTTCAAAAGTTGTCATGAGTAAGGAGAGATTACTGTTAAGTCCTTCAATCTGATCAACGCCTTACAGAGTTTTAGGTTTAGACTAACTAAATATTCATGAGACTTTCTCGACACTGTCATCATAGTCGTCTTTGACTATATACCAGCGCACACCAAGATGGAGTTCACTAAGAACACCGAAGGGGAGTTGTGATGGTGTTATAAGCTCACTAGTTGTACACCAAGTTCTCGAAGTGACGAGTTTGGTTGTTGGTAGTGGCATTCTCTAGTCATGTGGTATCAAGTTCAGGGATCAAAGGAGCGGGATAAGCGTGGATAAAGAGTATAGAGACAACCTTCCAATATTTGAGGTACTTATATAGTATCTAGTCATTGTAACACATACATGCTAAGAGGCATGAAACAATTCAGTAGAAAAGCTAACTTGAAGTACTACCAAGTCACTAAACTAGACCCAAGAATTAGGTAACCTTCCTAGAACTGAAATAGGATGTGAAGATAGTCGATAATGTTAACGCCAAAGTTGGTTAGTACAAAGATGATGAAGATGGACAACTTCATTGCAGATCTCAAGTACGAGATCTAGGGATTGAGATAACCTAGGCCTCCTCAGTCTATGTAGAAGTACATGTGATGCTAGGAAGATGGACATGTGCACTTGGATTAAAACCTTAGAACCTATGTAACCGTTAACACACTGTGATAGATGGTTATGCCCTAGTAGTGACCTTTAGATCCAGGGAGGGCGAAACATCACAAGCGAGAGGCAAGTATCTTTAGGAGCACCCTTAGAGTTGGAAACATGTATATGGACAGAGAACTCGAGGAAGTGTTCACAAGAGGACTATGAGGTTTGATATGTCTTTAATGTCCATAGAGTGTAGTGAGTGAATGTCCGAGTCATGGGTTAGTTGAGTTATTGTCGAGACAATGTAGTAACTTGGGTAAGGAAAGTGGACAAGAGAATGTCAAACTTTTGAGATTTTATTGAGGGCCTTAATGACAGAATTTCAAGATGAAGTAGAAGAGAAAAATTCTTAGAAAAATCCCGAGAATTCAAGAAAAATAGAAAACTAAATAGTGAAAAATTGGAAAAATTGTTAAAATCAACCCGAGGGGTAAATCGACCCTTTGCCTAATTATTGGTCTGCATTAGTCCTAATTAGATAAAATGAAATGGAGGTTTATGGTTCTCGAGAGAAAGTTAGAGAGAGAGTCAAAATCCGATCCAAATAGTCATTTAGAGTCAAAATTTTGTCGGAGTTTCTTTAGAAGACTTGCTCAATAGGTTGAGAGTAACTATCATGCGCTTTTGAATCGCTCAATTCCGAGTTCTTTATTTCGTTTTCATTGAATTCAGAACTTTTTTTTTTTTGAAATTAAGATCTAAATATTTAGTATGTTCATATTGGAGGGATTTCACACAAGTTTTTTTTTTTTTTTTAATGAAGTCAAAGTTGATTCTGACGGGAAGGCGGTGTTTCGGGGAACGTCAAGAATTTGCAAGATTGTAAGTTTAACAATTTTAGATCAACTTTGGACTCAATTATTGGGTGTTGTGATTGGAAAAAAATTATGAGAAAAATATGTTCGTAAAGATGGATTCATTTACAACTTCGGTGAAAATCGTGTTGATCCGAGTTATGAGCAAATATTTATAAAAATGTTAAGAAAATAGGTTGAAACGTGCAAATTCACCATAATCTAAAAAAATTTTGCGCAAGTCACATTGGCTGTTGGACATGCGTCGCACAGCCAAGTAGGAAGCACGTGTTAGTCGGCCCTGGACACATGTTAATGAACGACTAGAGCAGCCGTCATTTCGCCAGTGGAGGCACGTCATCCAGGTCCAAGTTCAAACCGCCAACCTGCACTCGACCGACAATCCAACCCAACGAACTGCGTTCAACTCGAATGATGTCTCACAACTCCACACGTGCCATGTGTTGTCTCCGCATAATTTTGAGGGTAAGTTGCGTCTACCAGGCTCGAAGTGTAAACCTGCCTGCGTGTGGTGGTGCGCAAGTCAAGTGTGCATGGAGACACATGAGATCTCTATTTCATGTCCGTTCAATGCTCGTTTCTTAGTTTTCATCTCAATTTCAATACTAACTTTAATTTTGCTTCAACTATGACCAATCAAAGAAATTTTGAGAATTTTGGAGTTCCTAACACATTGTAAAACCAGCTCGGAAAGACACGCGTCATCCAAATAAGTAACTACACAGATTCTAAAAAGTAATACTGGTAGGAATCGTTAGAACGTATTAGCATGCAAGTATTCCTTACGGCAAGTAGTTAGACAATGCATAATAAAGTGAACCTAACCCACAAGTAAACATCAACTTCCACGGCCTAACACACGCATGTAGGTGACCCAGATGCATGTCGCATAATAAGAAGCTACGTTTGTCTACTAGTTTTTGGACGGGTTGAGGCATTCGTGGCCCTAGACTATGCCTTTGTGTGGTTGGGGGCGTTCACGGTTTGATTGATTCACGATGTCAAATATAGATTCTCTATTCAATTTCGTCTCAACATAACTTCTTCATTTGAGCTTTGATTCTAGTAATTCAAAAAAAGTTGAAAATCATTATTCCAAATTCTACGCTGTAGACACTTCAAAACACTATAATTATTAGTAATTAAGAACAGGTTTGTTATCATTAAAATATCAATTAATGGCCAAACAGCCCACCGTTCAAGACAACGACTAAGAGGAAAAAAATCTCCAAAGAAACAAAGAAATTGAGTAATTGATTTGGCTTGTGATATATATATCATGTAGTTGAAGTAGCTTTGAAATTTTGGATGTGGGTAGGGAACCTTGTGTGTGCTCTTCCACCATATATCTTTGTCTTAAACCTTGGTTCACCAACTTCACAATTTTGCTCTCTAGAGACAAACTATGAAGGATATTGACCTACTTCATCAACTTCCCCATCCAATTCCCAACTTCTTCATATACATATGACTGAAAAGACCCTTTTGCCCCTTCCCCAATCTTCCCTTTTCCCAATATTGTTTTCCTACCAATAACACTACCAAGTGGGTCAAAGATGTATGAATCAAATACTATCTTAATGGAGCAGCCTTCTGGTCAAATTCACATAAAATAGAACCCATCTTTTTCATCTGGTAAAAGCCTACCCCTAAGAGGGGAAGATGGTCAAAATCCAACACATAAAGTAACCAATGTCAAACCCAGAAAGGGTATTTCGGTAACTTCGACATGTCGAGAAAATGGAAGATGTCTCGTTCTAAATAGATTATATAAACCAAGGAATATGCATCTAATATGGTGTCAGATTGATTTGTGTGATCATATTAGTTTCCTAAAGCCTAAAGAAAGAAGATGCTGACCGGAGTTTGCAGCTTCTACCATTGTTTCTTCTTCTTCTTCTTCCTCCTTTTTGCCGATGGATTTCTGATGGTAGTCGAATCTGCGGAACATGTGACCCCATTATCCGATCTGTTGAGTCGAGACGAATGGAGGCAGACAGCAGGATATGGCGAGGAGAGACTGTCCACGGTTTTGGTCACAGGCTCTCTTCTTTGTGAAGCTTGTTTGCATGGTGATGAACCGCAAGTTCATGCATGGCCTGTAAAAGGTACTATAATTGCAGCTAGCCTTTAAGAAAAACTATGAGATCAAGCTTGGTTTTTACCTTTCTGATGAATATCAATCACTGCAGGTGCCATGGTGGGTGTGAGGTGCCACAAAAACAGCAAATCTTCTGATTGGGTACGTGGAATCACAGATGAATTTGGAGACTTCATTATTGATATTCCATCCCGTTTTCATGCAACACAGAGCTTTGAAAAGGTCTGTTCCATCAAGATTCTTCGCACACCAAAGAACATACGCTGTCGACCTGCTCATTTTGCAGGTCGCAAACAGCTGCAATTATCGTCGTTTGGAGGAGGCATCCGCACGTATACTTCTGGTATCCTCAGGTTGCAGCACCAAAAATCTCAACCCCTGCAAGCTTGTAAAAATAAGGGAATTGATGATCAACAGACCTTATGGTAGGCCATAATATACGGCTCATGTAGATGGCGCTGAAGTCACAACGATGAGTTATTGGTTTGTAGTTAAAATGATAAATGGAGCTTGCAGAAATATGTATTGTTAGTGTATAAACACATATGTTTATGTAATACAGCAATTTATTTCATACCATATATGGCAGAAGTGTCGACTGCAACGAGTCTCCTGTACAACGGCACAGCAAGTAAGCTTATCAGCATTTTCATCTGGTATTTCAATGGAGAAATCTTGTTCGAATGCCATTACAAGCTCTATAGTGAGATCCTACATCGGGTGGGGAGGAGAACGAAACAACCTTTATAAGGGTGTGGAAACCTCTCCCTAGCAAACGCGTTTTAAAAACCTTGAGGGAAAGCCCGAAAGGGAAAGTCCAAAGAAGATAGTATTTGCTAGCGGTAGGCCTAGACCGTTACAAATGGTATTAGAGTCAGACATCGGGCGATGTGCCAACGAGGAGGCTGTTCCCTGAAAGGAGGTAGACACGAGGCGGTGTGCAGTAAGGACGCTGGGCCCTGAAGGGGAGGTGGATTTGATGGTGGTCCCACATCGATTGGAGAAAGAAACGAGTGCTAGCGAGGACGCTGGGCCCTGAAGAGGGTGGATTTAGTGGTGGTCCCACATCAATTGGAGAAAGGAACAAGTGCCAGTGAGGATACTGAGCCCTGAATGGGGGTGGATTGTGAGATCCCACATCGGTTGGGGAAGAGAACGAAACACTCTTTATAAGGGTGTGGAAATCTCTCCCTAGCATACTCGTTTTAAAAACCTTGAGGGGAAGTCCAAAAGAGAAAGCCCAAAGAGGTCAATATCTGCTAATGGTGGGCCTAGGCCGTTACATCCACCCTGTCCAAACTGTCCAGACTTAAGTCTTTCTGGAAATCAGCCGTTTCAGTAACCTGCTCGGCTCAACACAACATCCAACGTTGAGAAATGCCTTTATTTCAGCAAATATATTGTATTGAACTTAATAGGATATGATAATTAGGAAGGAATCTACAAACTCCTGACATGACAAGTGATATAAAAATACAAAGATGAGATGATGGGGTGACCATGGACTAATTACCTTACAGGCAACGACTCTATCGAATTTCTTAACCAATCCAATCACCCGATCAACTATTTCGTCAGAACTTGAACCTGTTTATGAACACAGATGGTGAGTTAGTTTCTCCATTACATTCTCATCCTTCATCAACAACTGTGTTGTAGGTCCTCTGATCTTTACGTGCTTCAGAATTGAATTTCTGATGTTTTGCACGTTTACAGTAGCTGAAATGAACAGGCACCATCATCAGTCCAGGTAACAAATAATTGAATCATAGATATGCATATAAACAAACCCATCGAAGGCTGGAATGTGAAATGTCCCTGGTGTGTGGAGGGAGTTGAACAAAGAAATATACACGTGCATTTCGAGTTATCAAGACCTAACTTTTCTAAAACATGGAACTTCAAGAATTACTGAAATAGATAAACATACCAGAGTCCTTGAAGGGAAATACAGATTTGCCCATTGAAAATAATATGTAGTAACTTTCGAAGGGTCACATAGAATTGGAAGAAATGGAAGTGGTTTTGTTGTACAAAAAGCCTAATCATCGTTCTTTACAAATGATCACTAATCAAATCTGTGAGATCACCAATGGTCATGTAGTTCTTTTAATTTCTTCTAATACAATAATTTCTTATAATACATTTGTATTATATTTTATCCTTGTCTTGTATAACGACTCAAGCTCACTGCTAGCACATATTGTCTTCTTTGGGCTTTTTCTTTCGATCTTCCGCTCAAGGTTTTTAAAACGCATCTTAAAACCTTGAGGGGAAGTCCATAAGGGAAAGCCCAAAGAGGACAATATTTGCTAACAGTAGGTTTAGGCTGTTGCAAATGGTATCAGAGCCAGACACCGGGCGATATGCCAGCGAGAACGCTAAGCATGGTGTGCCAGTGAGAATGTTGAGCCTCGAAGGAGGTGGACACCAGGTAATGTGATAGTGAGGAGCTGGACCCTAAAGGGGTGGATTGTGAGATCCCACATTGGTTAGAGAGGGGAACAAAACATTTCTTATAAGGGTGTGGAAACCTCTCCCTAGTAGAGGCGTTTTAAAAACCGTGAGGCTGACAGCGACATGTAACAAGCCAAAGCGGACAATATGTACCAGCAATGAATTTGGGGCTCAAGGCATTTTTAAAGTCTAAAGGCCAAGTTTAGAGATCTGCAAATTTGATAATATCAACTCCAGCAGAGGATTAGAGTTTTTAATGATCCAGCATTCAGAAACATTCCACTTGGAGGCTTAGACCCAAACCTAGAACTGAACTCCCAAGTCCCATCTAAGACTCCAACCCCTATTACCACCGAAGCCGCCTGTTGGTATATTCATAGAACCATCATTCAAATTCAAATGATCTAATCTGTTTTCCAAGGACAAAATGCGAAACACATTCCCCAAACAAACAAAGCATCTAAAAGTAGAACTAAGAGCCCAGGATTCGTTCAACCCCCTCACCTTTGATCCTCACAAACCAACGAATTTTTACCCAAAATCGTGGGGAAATTGGCATATTAGCAAACTAGAATACGACGCAGATGTAAAATTAGCAAGGAAAAGCAAGAACGAGGAAAATTGCAACAAAAGTAAAGCATAAAAAGAGAAAAAGGCGAAACCTCATTTACCGACGAGAGTTGCAGCTACTGTAATGTGAACTGGTAGACATATTCGGAGCGTCGCGCCCGCCGAATTGCTGGAAAGAGAAGCTGAAGTATGAACTGCGATTGTGATACCGTCGTGAATTCGAGAGAACATTGTGATACCGTCGTCAATTCGGTTTTACTTTAATTTTGGACTTTTTCTAATGTTTTCTTTTAAAAATAAAATGACTAATATAACCTAATTTACTAAATTAACTTCGCCCCTTACCCGATTTGGCTCGATTTTGATATTTTCGAATCTTTTTGAGGCTGATTGATCTGGCTCGGGTCTAATAGGTTCCAACCCTTTTCTACCACCTTCGGCTCTCTCGAAGGCACTTTTGACAATTTTGACCATATTTAAATTATTTTAAGACGTAGAATTCTAAATTATGATGGTGGGACTACTAAGTAGATTTAAGTTAGCATCAAACGAGCATAGTGACTTACGCCAACCAAGTAATAAGTTTTACTGTTGGTTTGGATGGATTACTTGTTTGTTGCATGAACGATGTGTGCTCTAGGGCTCTTGCACATGTCTTATTTTATGATCGTATGATATGTATTATGTTATGATATATGTTATGTCGTATACAAGTTATGCTATGATGTCAAATATACTATGCTATGTCATGAAACTATTTTATGATATCTCTATTATTTGATGCATGTACCTCTATATACCATGCCATGTAAATTATGTTAATACTAACTACTTAGGGGGACGGGGACATTAAAAAACTATGTATATTAATCATGCATATATGTATGTCTCATAAGGACGCTCTGTCAAGGAAAAGAATGGAGGTATGACTAGCATCATGAATATATATCATGATTTAATGTGGTGGGATCTCGTACATTTTGTATGTCATGTGCATCGAAATACTTCTTGGTGAGTTTATGTACATGTGCATGGGCTGTGTGGGGAGAAGTACTCCAATCCAACCCTTTTCGGACTGAAAAGTATAACCCAAGGCCATGTCGTGATACTGTTATAAAAGAATAGGTCTCGCCATAATTGCTTACGTATGCATTTCCCGACTCCAACAATGAGGTTACTTACTGAGTATTTCTTAAAATACTCTAGCACGTACTACTCTTATTGTAAGTAAATGCAAGGCACCTTATATGGGTGACATCGTCGCCGTGGAGGCCATGAAACCAAGCATTATGTTTAAACTTAATGTTATTTCGTTTTCTGCCATTTCATTGATGTTTACTATTAATTGAAACGAATTTGACGAACGTTTGAATCCATAATATCGTTTATGAAATGTTTTTATACTTTTTTGAAATATAATAGACATGGGGAACTGATATGATTTCGTTAAGAATTAAAATAAGGCATTAAATAAGAGAGAAAGAATCCTACCTCGTAGAACTAGTACAAACATCCTTGATGTGTTCCACCAACGTAGAAATTCCTTTCAATATCTTTCTTGGTATGACTCTAACGCTAATAAAATAACTTGTGGAAGACTTTTGGAAGAATGGAACAACGTCAACTTAGAAGTTGTAGGTAAGCATTTACGGCTCACTCCTAGGTTATATTGACTTTCCCTTTTGGGTTTTCCCTCGAGGTTGTTAAAATGTGTCTATTAGAACGAAAGAAGTTTCCTCTTCAACTGATGTGGGGTCTCACAATCGACCTCCTCTGGGGCCCAACATCCGCGTTGGCACTCGTTCCTCTCTCCAATCGATGTGGGATCTCACAATTCGCCCCATTCGGGGCCATCATCCTCGCTAGCACACTGTCCGGTGTCCACCCCCCTTCGGTGCTCAACGTCCTTCAAGACTCAGTATCCATTCAAATTTTATTTTAATTTTTAATATATCAAAATACGATAAATATTTGTTGTAATAGCCCATCACTAGCATTTCTTTTGGGTTTTTTCTTTCGAACTTCTTCTCAAGGTTTTTAAAACGTGTCTGCTACGGAGAGGTTTCCACACTCTTATAAAGAATGTTTCGTTCCCCACTCCAATCGATGTGAGATCTCACAATCCATCCCCTTCGGGGCCTAGTATCCTCATTGGCACACCGCCCAGTATCCACCCCCTTTCGATGCTCAACGTCCTCGTTGGCACACCGCCCGATGTCCACCCCCCTTCAATGCTCAACATCCTCACTAGCCCACTGTCCGATTTTTGGCTCCAATACTATTTGTAACAGCCCAAGTCCACCGTTATTAGATATTATCCTCTCTAAACTTTTCCTTTTGAGCTTCCCCTCACGGATTTTAAAACGCATTTGCTATGAGAGGTTTTCACACATTATAAAAAATGTTTCGTTCCCTTCTCCGACGTAGGTGGGATCTCCAATTTTTTCTTCCAAAATATTAATTTGAATACTTCAAACTAAATATATATTTTTCTCCTATATATTTAACCTATCAAATATATTAAATAACTTATCTTCGAATGTTGGGTGAACTAACATAGAGATCTCAGTGACCTACCGCTTCAATGTTGTAATATTAATTAACTAAACTCTTTAATTAATTAATTTTCAATTATTAATCACTTCACTATAAACTTATAATTTAATTCTTATGCATTGTAGGTAGGATAAGTTGCATTTGTGGATGTGATCATTACAAGCAAGTTGATTTTTCGTGAGTTATTTGTAATTACAACTAAGTCAATATTATCACATATTTCACCGTAAATACATTGATTCTCTAATGAACAATTTGTTTATGATCCAAATGATCCAACCATAAACTAAGTCCCTCTTGGGCTAGTGACATGGTCATTGTTCAAGCCTTGACTCTTTGCCACGGGTCTCTTATCTTTGATTGAACACAGTAAACTCACGAACCTTCTTTCACTCACCAAGTTTAGGCTACAAGAAATCGTGGCATGAGAGACGAATGAACGATGAAGAAATGAAGACGTGGGCTTGATGATCGGAGAAAGGGAAGGGGTGTGGTTGGTGTGTAAGACAAGTGCATGACAAGAGTGTCAATCAAATTCTTTGTTAGTAGTGTCATCCTCCCTATTGGTTATAATGGGCAGGTTGCCCCTCCGAGCTACGTTCTATTAGGCTATAGATTATAGAGAAATTCCACAATCAAACTGCTAGTACCACATAAACTCGAACAAACAACCAAAGAACCACGAAGAATATGAAGAACTCACTCAGTGTTCAGCTCTCAAACATATTTGTTATCATCAAACAGTTTGGTGGCTGCTAGAACACCGGACATCCTTTCACGGCAATCCCAGGAGCAGTAGGACACTTCGCCAAAGGGCAATGGTCCGGTTGTGATCCCCACCACCTCAAGTGATGCCCCTCATTCTGCACTGCAAAGAAAAGCAGCACGCCCATGAAAGCCGTCCCAGCATCAAGCGCAGCCGACAGCACGTAGTTATACTTCTGCCACCACCGCCTCTTGTATCGGAACACAAAGTAATTGAAAACCGTTCCAGTTATGAGCCAGCTCGCTATGTTCGTAGGAGTTGCCGGTGGCATCCCTGCAAAGCCATACGATATAACCGGTACGTTTACCAGCGGAATCCATTTCTTTTCTGGGAACACTTTGCTCAATGCCCAAATGGGCACTGGAAGAACCGCTCCAACGAGGAATAGCCACACCAGGTTGCGATACAACCCACCAGGTCCAAACAATCGCTTTGGTCCGATTAGTCCCCATATCACTGAAGCATCAAATGTTACTCTGTATTTTGGACATGTCCATGGGCTATCAGGGTGGAGTGCATCCACGTCGCAGATGTTCTCTATACCGTCCAGCATCCACCATGCAACGCCTAGGTTGACCGTCCCGGCGACTAGAGTCCCGACTAACTGGGCTGTGTACATGCATCGTGGTGGGATTTTCATATAATGCCCAAGTTTAAGATCGGATAAGAAAGACAGAGCATGAACTGTGCTGATCCTTCCATAGATCTTGAAGAGTAGATTTGCTATTGGCTTTCCGGGAAGAATGTAACCAATGATGAATTGTGCTATGATATCATATCCGGGTTGCTGCATAAGATTTCGTATGGATTTGTAAGTCTTTTGTTTTGGAATATGTTCAAGAAAACCCAAAACAAAATCACGAGAGCTTATGCTCGAAGTGGACAATATTGTACTATTGTGGAGATTTGTGATTCCTGACATGGTATTAGAGTCACACCCTTAATTTCTCCATGTTAATAAAATACTCAAGTGTCGAACAAAGAAATTGCTAGCCTCGAAGGTGTAGTTAAAAGTGACTCATGTGTCGAACAAAGAGTGTACTTTGTTCGAGAGTTTCAGAGAAATGAGTTGAGCCTCGATTAAGAGGAGGCTATTCGAGGGCTTTATGGAGGCCTTAGGAAAGGCTCGAACAAAGGGTGTATTTTGTTCGAGGGTTCTAGAGGAAGGAGTCAAAGCCTCGATTAAGAGGAGGCTGTTCGAGAGTTCCATAAGCCGTAGGGAAGGCTCTATAGTGTACTTTGTTTGAGGGGAGGATTGTTGAGGACTGTTGGGAGGGATTTGAGGGCTCTAGAGAAAGGAGTTGAGCCTCGATTAAGAGAAAGTTGTTTGAGGGCTTCATAAGTCTCAAGAAAGGCTCTATAGTGTACTTTGTTGGAGGGGAGGATGGTTGGGAGGGAGTCCCACGTTGGCAAATTTAAGGAACGATCATGGGTTTATACGTGTCTTCATTGGTATGAAGCCTTTTGGACAGTTCAAAGCAAAGTCACGAGAGTTTATGCTCAAGTAGACAATATCATACTACTGTGAGTGTGAGAGTTGTTATTCCTAACGAAAGTTACCTGGTTAGTGGTTGCTTGAATGACCCCAATCGGGAGGGTGACAATCCAAGCCATGGCAAAGGCAAATAGCATCCCCCACCACGGTAGTTGCACGTCCTCTTTCCACACAAACGACATCAAAAGAGACAGTGCAATGCTTCCGAACAGTAAGATCAAGAACCACCATTCTGGCACCTGTTTGTATCTTTGCATCAGCTTTGCATGGATGTCTAATTTTGCACTCTTGATTGCTGCCCTGCTTTGCTTCCATATCTCCCTACCCATTAAAGTAACAATGGGTTAAGAATCACGAATCACTCTACGATGGTACGATATTATACACTTTGAGCATAGACTCAAAGTAACTTTGCTATGGGGAGACCTCATTTTATAAAGGAAAGCCTCTAAATTAGCCCCTGCGAGACACACCCTTTATTCGAAACTTGAGTCACTCTTGACTACACATTCAAAGCTCACAACTTTTTCGTTTGACATTTGAAGATTCTATTAACATGGCTAAGTTAAAAACATGATGATATTATCCACCTTGAACCTAAGTTCACCTATAGACTTATAATCATTTCTTAAATTAGCCGACGTTGACGGTCTCCCAACCATCTTCAACACAACCATCACTTCAAGAACTCAACCAAATTCAAATATAATGTTGGCAGTAGAAGGAAAGTGAGAAAAGAGACAAAAACAGAGCATACCGGCCATTGAACAGAGCAACATGGGTGAGAGTGGCAGTGAACCTGGCGAAACCAGATCCAATGGAGAGAGCAAAAAGAGGGCTAAGATAGAGCTTCCCGTAGCTATCATAAGCAGCAACATTGAGATCAAAATCCGCCGTCAAAATCTTGGTCGTGTCGTATTTCTGACCGGTTCTTGTGAAGAGCTGATTTGAGAAGATGGGAAATTTCCGGGCATCGAAGGTGTTGAACTTCCAATAGCAAACAGGGACGATGATATAAATGAACATCACAAACCCTACACCCACATTCAGAATCGAGAACCATGGCGACACGAGCGGGCTTCCATGATAGGCTGAAATGCCGGCCCAATCGAAGGTGAAAGCTCCAAGTCCAAGCCCACTTTGGCTCGACCCAATTTGCTGAGCCGTGATGCTGTGAGGCCAAACCCAACAAACCCACGAGAAGAATGATAAGATTTGAAACAAGTAACCTGGAAAAACGTAGTAGACAAAGCTTCCTCCCATGGCGATTAAGAAGAATTTCATCCTTGTCATCCCTTTTGATTTGTCCTCCCTCTCATGAAGGGCTCTAAAACAGGGGAAGTACAAAAAACAGAGCAAACCAGAGTTAGCGCATAATATCATTATCCACAGACCAATTTAACAGAGACTTGATCGAGCTTCAAGTCTGTACAAAGATGAAGAAATCGTACCTAAACAGAGAAACCTGAGCCAAATTTGCAGGCCACCACATTTCAACAGGATCGACCAAGTACCTTCGGAGCATACCAGCCCATCCATATCCCAAAACTTGGGTAGTTAAGACGATGAGAAGGGCCAAGAGGAAACTCAAGCTCTGTTTATAATAAGCCTTCATGACAGTAATGGCGCCGATGGAATAGGCGTCGCCGCCGCCATAGGAGATGCCACAGTTAGCAAAAATGGTGATAATAACATGCTCCTTCATGTTGAAAGGGCCAGGGTTGAGACTGAACTTCCAGTGAAAAAAATGGAAGTCTCTGTTTGGAAGAGTGGAGGCCATGAAGCGGCCAATTGGGAGAACAGAGATCTGCATAAGAATGGCGGAGATGGCGAGTGGTTGAGAGCGGTAAGTGAAGAAAGTGTTGAGAAAAATAAGAATGCAACAAGAAGTCAGCCCCAAAACCCATGAACGAAAAGTCATCACTGGAAGAGATGGGTCGTCAGTCTCCGGCACCACCAGAGCCACCTCCTCCACCGAGCAACGATCCTCAGACGGTGGAGAACCGCCGTCATTGGACTTGTCTGCGGGGGTGGAATCTGGGTGGAACGGGGTTTTGAAGGACATTGAAAGAGCGTTAAAGAGGGAAAACAGAGGAGGCTCTGTTTTTGGTGTTGGAAAACTGAAGCAGGGGAGTTTTAAGGAGCAGAGAGTGGGAAGTGAAATGTGTGCGATGAAGTGTTAGAATATTTATAAGGGAATTTTGGATTTTTCTCCACCCCTAAACTTTTTCTTTTTTTTATTAAGTACGTTACTTACCATCGTCAACCTCACGATTTTAAAATGCGTTTATTTGGGAGAGGTTTCTACACCTTTATAAAGAATGTTTCGTTCTCCTCTCCACTCGATGTAGGATCTCACAATCCACCCCGCTTAGAAGCCCAGCGCCTCACTGGCACACTACTCAGTGTCTGACTCTAACACCATTGGTAACCACTCAAGCCCATCGCTGGTTATGTATTGCTATTAGTTTCATAGTTCTAAAACGCGTCTACTACAGAGAGGTTTCCACACCCTTATAAAGAATGTTTCATTCCCCTCTCCATTCAAAGTAGGATCTCACAATCCACCCCTTTTGGGGTTCCAGCGTCCGGTGCTTGGGCTGTTGAACCAAAGTGGACAAAATATCTACTAGTACTAAGCTTAGACGGTTACAAATAATATTATAGCCAGATTTTGGGCGGTGTCAAATAAATGGTGTGAGAACCTCTCCGTATCAAACATGTTTTAAAACTGCGAGGTTAACGACGATATGTAATTATCCAAAATGGACAATATCTATCTAGCGATGCGCTTGAGTTGTTACATAGAAGTTCAGTAATTTTCCATAGAATAGTAGCTCGTGGTTCGACACCATATTACTATTCTTGTTAGGTTCCATACCATATGGGTACTCTTTCCGCCTTTTTCCTTTCTCGGTCTAAATTAATTACAACTAAATCACCGATGGAAGTGACGTGGTTGGAATATTGAAAAGTTGAGGCACTTTTCGAGATTTGGAAATAAAAAATATGAATAAAATTGATGCCAAAAACATAACGTTTTATCAAGTTCAAATGGCCTCAAGAATGAAGAACCTCCAAAAGTAGGAACATATCTTTGGTGCAACCGAGCTCCCATTTTGTAATCAACCCATCATATTCCAAACATTCGATCAAAGTCTTCATCACGTCTCGATATCTACCATATATAGAAACACTTCAAAATCTTAGAATTAAATGTTTAAATTGAGTTTAAAACATGTCATAATCCGATCAAATCGAATCCACGAGCAGGAGCATAAGCTAATCCAAAATCTTAAATAATAAAAGTGGAAACATTGAATTCAATAATAGTAAAAAGTTTAAAATTATTCTAATCCAATAATAATAATAATAATAAAATAATAACAATAACCATCCATTCATCGCGTGAATAACACATCCAAAGTCGCGTTTCCCACGCGCTCTCTCGTTCGTACACACGCGCCTTCCGTTCGACCCCATCCACTTCGGACACACGTTGTTTCAGCTTTTTCTGACGTCACCCAAACAGCGCTTTGACGCCGTCCGCAAATCCAATGGGATTAACTTTCAACCGTAATTAATGAAGAAACGTCACCGTTATCTTCTGACAGGATGGTTGCCAGATGGATATGAGGCTCGATAGTTCCAGTGGGATCCACGTGGCTTTGTTTTATAAACTGGTTGACTTTATTGACCGTTGAAATTGATGACGTCATCGTTCCATCATCCCAAGTGTTCGGATTTTCTCTATTTCTTCTCTTTTTTTTCACTATTTTTTTAATAATAAATTCATGGGGGTTTTCTTTAAATTAAGAAATCAATAATAAATGAACTTATTATGTTTTTGTTTTTAGGTTAATTAAAATTTTATAAAATTAAAAAATGTCACAATAATTTTTAATTTTTATAATAATTTTAAAAATAGGGTTATGGGTAGTTCTAGTTATAGATGTCTAGTTTCTTATCATCAGCTCTGCAATATCTTTGCACCAGGACATTTTGATCGAAAGTCATGTCACTGTGTTTCAGAACTTTTCGGTTCTTGTCATACCAAAATTTGTACTCGAACATGTCAGAACCATAGTTTATGAAATAGCACTTCATAGACTCGGCGTCAAGTTTGTCACTCTTCTCTAGATCAACACGAACATATGCAGTACAACCAAAAGTTCTCAGGTGAGAGTACTTGAGTTCTTTTCTATCAATACTTCTTCAGGCAACTTGAACTCCAAGGGTACTGACGATCCTCTATTGATCAAGTAGACTGTTGAATTTAGAGCATTGACACATATTTTCTTTGGTAATCCATAATGAATCTTCATACTCTTTGCCCGCTTATTCATTGATCTGTTCATCCTTTCAGCAACATCATTTTGTCTTGCTTTACTAGGAATTGTCCTCATTAATTGAATTCCCTCAGCTGCACAAAATGCTTTGAATTCATTGTCAGATCTCAGACATTTGATCTTCAAGCCGATCTGATTTTCAATTTCAGCTTTCCACTTCTTGAAGGTGACAAACACATCTGACTTGTATTTCAAGAAATAAATCCACATATTCTGTTGAAATCATCGATGAAGGTGACGTAGAACTTTGATCCGCCAAGGGATGGAACTGGAGATGGTCCCCAAACGTCTGAATGGATCATTTCCAACCGCACTTTCTTCAGTTCTCTGGCAGTCTTTGTGAAGTTAACTTGTTTTTGTTTGCTCATAACGTAGTTCTCACAAGGACTCATATCAATAGATTTTAGACCTTCTAAAACTACTTTCGTAACCAACATCTTTATTTCTTTGACGCTCATATGTCCAACTCTAGTATATCATAGTCGCACAATCATGTTCATACACCCTGCAGTAGTGTATAAGGTTCCAGATTTTGTGTCACGTGCTACCACCATAGCATCCTTCACGACCTTCCACGAACTCTTCCCAAACTCTATTGCATAACCAGTGTTATCTAAATGATAAATAGAGATTAGGTTCTTCTTGAGACTAGGAATATATACGACATCCTGATTTCCTGCGTGAGCTTTTATGCAGACATCCCCTTTCCTTCAATCTCCAAGGCTTTGGTGTCGGCAATATACATCTTCTCGAAATTTTTAGACTTGAAATTTCGGAATAGCTCTTTATTTGGAGATGAATGAAAAGATGCACCCGAATCCAAAATCTAGGATTCAATTGGACTGTCTACGCTGAGGATTAGAACATCCCCAATGTCTACAACTGAATTTATATCATCATCATCTTTTATTTGTGATTCTGTTTCCTCTTTGGTCTTGTACAATCTTTCCGAAAGTGACATTTTTCTCCATAATTCCAACACATTACGTTTGGTTTGTTTGGAAAATTTTTATGGTTCTTTGATTTTGATCGATCTTTGTTTGGGTCATTCGATTTACTTCTTCTCCTTTGGTCAACACTGAGAGCACTACTAGATGAATCTCCAGTTTCTCGTTTGCGAATACTTTTGCTGAGAACTATATCTCAAATTTCATCGAACTTCAGTTCCTCAGATCCTCGGGAACTGTTGATCGCGGCAAGAACAGCATCCCATGACACGGACATCAAAATCAATGCTTTAATTTCATCTTCGAAATTAATGTCCACCAAACTCAGTTAACTTATAATCATATTAAGTTCATTTATATGACCAGCAACAAATCCACCTTTCGACATTTGTAGATTGATCAGCCTCCGCATCAAATATACCTTATTCACAGCCGACGGTTTTTCGTACATATTCGATAATGCCTTCAACAAATCTAACATTGTCTTCTCCTTGATGATGTTGAACGCCACGTTTCTTGATAATGTCAATCGGATCAACCCTAAGCCTAATGATCCTTGAACTTCCACTGTTCCGTGGTCATAGTATCCGGCTTCACCCCGAATAGGGGTTCATGAAGATCTTTTTGGTACAGATAATCTTCAATTTGCATCTTCCAGAAGTCAAAATCGGATTCATTAAACTTCTCAATTCCAATCTTTGAACTTTCCATCTTCACAGATCGTGGTGAATCTCGCCTCGCTCTAATACCAGTTGTTAGGATCGCACAACAACGCACACACTCGGTCAAGATGAACACAAAGAACAGGATATCGACCTTTTTTAACATGATCTAAAAGATATGATGGTATCATTAAAATTAAGAAAACATTGTCAGTAATTTTGCTTAACTTTGTATATCGACCTTCTTAGCTTACACACAATATGTTCCTTTGCTCTCGCTAAAAATCTTACTGCTAATTTATGAACATATATTTGTTCATCGAGATGAAATTTTAAGCCATAATAAATTATTAGTTTTATCATTATTCTTAACCGATCAAGTATAATAAGAAATCGAGATTTTTTCTCTCAATTTGAAAAGGAATCTACGATAACTTCGACCCTAGAAAGATTTTTTTGAAAGATCCCTAACTAAAATAAAGGGGAAAGCGGGTGTGAATGAATAGAGTGGGTATGATTGAAATGCCATTTGACTAAAAGGCTATACGGCTATGAGCCTAAGTTATGAAAGAAAGCCATCAACACTTGGCACCAAACCACACATTTCCTAACATTTCTAGTCTATACAAAGTCTTGATAGTGACCAAAGCTAATAAGTTCTTGTTCTTTTTACACCAAATAGTCACTGAATTGAAGCATAAAGTGGTCGGTTCGCCAAGGGCAGCTCCATTTTCCATCGAGTTCCACTTACTTTCTCTTTATCGGTCGAACCTTGGTTTGATTGAGACATGTCACATCCCAACTATAGTAATGGCCCTTGTGGTCCTTGAAAGACATACAAATACTTGGAGCTCAAAAATATCTTCGGACTCGTCTTTCTGAACTTAGATGATGAGAGGTCGTACAAAGAGTTTGGGATTATCAGTTATCACCATTACAAGACCTTTGTGTCCTTAGAGCTAAAAAATTGTGCCCCTTTTTGAGGCGCATGCATGTGGAATTGTGGGGTTTTTTTTATGGGCACTTGTCCTACAAAATGACTTTTTACCAAAAACGGCCACTACAAGGAGCTTAGATCCTCCCCAACTTATGAAGATGTTAGATTTATCGATTCACACACAAGCTTATCACTATAGACCTCAGTTCGTAAAATCTAACCATTACTCTTAACTGTTTCTCGTACAACTGTTGCAACATAATAGTTTCATGTTTCGTCATCGATTGGGTATTCCTTCTTATCGTGTTGTTGGAAGACTTGAATGATACACACACGTATATAATAGAGAGAGGCATCTCGAGCGAGTGGTGCAATGGAGTTGGGGTCTCTCAATCTCCATAGGGTGTGTTTGGGGACATTTAGGAACAAAAGAGAAAGGCATATATCCAAGGCAACGCAGGCAGTGGCAAAGAGAGGTCCACAATGATGTGGGTGATGAGCACTATGAGTGGCAAACCACAAACTCTCAATATGCCCTTTGCCCTCCTCCTCCTAATCTAATGTGTGGCTTGGAATTTGGATTCCTCTTTCCTTGGGAGACTATCAATGGAATATACCTTAGAAAAGATCGGAAAAAAAGCTGCAAATAAGCGTCGGTAATGGCCGAGATTTTTTAAAGAGAATTCAGTAACATGTTTTTACAACATTCTCGTACGTATTTTGTTTTCTCTCAAACTTATTAACCAATCTTAGGCATATCGATTACAGGTATCCTAAAACTATCGGTATTGAAACTTCTATCGACCATCATAATAGGTATATTATTCCCAGCATTCATGAAGATCGCTTCTATGTTTTTCTCCTGCTCTTCAAATTACCGTTTTCAAATAGGAAATTATTTATGGAGACAGAGTTGTACGTCTCTAAAAAAAATGGATGATTCCAAGTAAATCTTTTTAACGTTTAATTTTATTTAATTTTTTTCGCTCTAAAATTTTGTTAGGATTTCACATAAAAAAAGAAATAAAAATTGAGATGTGATTTAATTCGGAGGATATTTGATAATAATTTTGAAATGATTAAAATATTTTTTTTAATTCAAAACCTGTTTTTAATTATCAATATCATTTTTTATAGTTTAAAATTATAAAATAAATAACAAGTTAAATTCTTTTAGAATAATTTTAAATAGGATAAAATTAAGGACACTTTCAAAATTAGTTTAAAACATTTTTTAAATTTGTAAAATTACTATACACAATTGAAATTGAAATTTAAATGTAATTAGTCAACTAATTTTTTTAAAAAAAATAAAATTTATTAAGGATTTATTAGGTCCAAAATTAAATATTTTAATACGGAATATATTGCGTTTGTTAAGGTATCAAATTTATCTTATTTTATTTTAAAATTTAGCTTATTTGAAGAGGAAAGCCCCAAAGCGAGCCCAAACCCATGCCTAAATAGCAGCATCGATGCAGGCCCAACCAAACAAGTGGAGCCACCCCTTGGCCGGACACCAAACATATGTCGGAACAAACATCCACGTCGGCTAATTTAAGGAATGATCATGGGTTTATAATCTAGGAATACTATCTCCATTCGTACGAGGACTTTTAGGGAAGTCCAAAGTAAAGCCACGAGAGCTTATATACTCAAAGTGAACAATATCATACCATTGTGGAAAGTCGTGTTCATCTAACGGTTACATTTCAAACCATATATTTCCACAAATTTTAAGGATAAATTAGCAATTGTTGTGACTAATTAATTAATTAACCTAATTACTTCAGTGTTATGAGACACTGTTACGCCACGCCTATGGGGAGCTCATGCATTTTTGTATGTTATGTGTATTAGGATACTTCTCCATTATAATAAGTAAATATATGTACGTTCTAATATCTATGTCGCCGTGATATTATATGAACGCATATAAGAAGGTTGTTTACTGAATATTTTTATATTCACCCCTTTTCCCTCCTTTTGTTCAGGTGTTTATAGGTTGCTAGTCGAGGCGGAGAGCGTTTTAGAGCTGCACGGTCACAAAGGGGGTCGTTCCAGAACGTTAGTTCGTCTTTATATTCGGTTTGTAACTGTATCTTAATAGGAATTCTCCTTTTGTAATTAAAAAAAAAAAAAAATTTCAAAGTGTATTTTTTAAGTATTATTAAAGGTGGAGGAATCGTGTGTGGTTCCAATGTTGTACTAGGTGGGCCATCCTTTATTATTCTAATTTAATACCAAATTCAACATATCTTTGACTTTTTTCCTTTTCTTTTTCAATTAATTTTGGATTAAAGTCAACACAACTTTCTACGTTATACACTCTAATAATTTAGACATAGGCTTCAATAATGTTGGTCAAGAAATAATTGAACTCAAGAATGTGGGTGATCTATATGAACTCGATCTTCCTCTCGGTGAACGTTTTTTCTCTAAGCGTAGATGCCTCATCAAGTGGAGAGGGGAACGTAACATTCTTTACAAGGGTGTGAAAACCTCCCCCTAAAAAACGCGTTTTATTAACCTTGAAGAGAAGCACGAAAGGGAAAACTCAAATAAGACAATATCTACTAACAGTAGGCTTTTGATTCAGGATTTGGCCCGAACTGTTCGGCAGATTCCCACGCGTTACGCACCCGTTCGCCACTTTGTTCTCAACTGTTTCCACCCCTTTTGAAAGGCGAGACAAGCTACCTTTAGCTAGGAGCCTCTTTTCCTTCTGCCTAGCTCCCCGAAAACAACGTTAAACTTGCATGTGTTAAGCCTATAGCTAGCGTTCCTACTGAGCCAGGATCAAACTCCGATTTTGAGTATGATTGGGCCCTGCAGTGGTAGAACCTGGTGAACCGGGCGTACGAGCTCTTACACTTAACTTAAAGAAACTTCTACATAGGAGAAAACTTATATCTCAAGCCACGAAAACTTTTACCAACTACAAAATTCATGAACCACCAATCAAAAGCTCATTTCTTAACCTACAAATCTTAAAGGAACTTATCAAAAAAAAAAAAAGGGAAGAAAATGTTCCTAAAAGTTGCTTGAGTTACAAGTTTGTTTTGGGCATCTTTTTGTTGGTTGGCGAATCAGTAATGAAAAAGGGATATCATAGTGGATCACATGTGTGTGTAAAGTGTAATTACACAAACCCTAAAATCCCATCCTTCATTCCAACTATTCGACCCAAACCATAAAAATTGATCAACACGAAAATAGGGTTACAAAAAGACCGACCATACTCGAGAACTACACATGGTTACGTGTTGGGGTCTTATTGCTCTTTCTCCTACTACCATTGCCAACTCCCCTGTCTCCTCTGCTTCTACCTTTTGGGTCTAATTTATTACCCTTCCTTTTCCCTTCATCCCTAAACTCATCCATGGTGGACGCCAAGGTATCATATCTCGTTCCTCACGCCACACTCCTCTGTCCTGCTGATTTAGTGTGTGTTTTTGTTTGATTTTTTAATCTATATGTCTCTGTTGAGTTTATCAAAATGGGTTTATTGGGCTTTGCAGAAGGTTGTGACCATGGTACTTAAAGTGGACCTGCAGTGCCATCGGTGTTATAAGAAGGTCAAGAAAGTTATCTGCAAATTCCCTCGTGAGTACTCTGTTCTTAGACTCTGTTCTTCTACTCTGTTTTTTAGTTTCTGCAAAAAGGGACGGAAACCCAGTTTCTGTTTTGTTCTACAGAAATTCGAGACCAGATTTATGATGAGAAACAAAACCTTGTGATTATCAAAGTGGTTTGTTGTAATCCTGAGAAGCTGAGAGATAAAATTTGCTGTAAGGGCTGTGGGGTTATCAAAAGCATTCAAATCCAAGACCCTGAAATTCCCAAGCCCGTCGATCCTCCGCGGCCCAAAAAAGTCGATCCACCGCGGCCCCAAAAGGTCATCGATTCTCCTCCGCCGAAAAAGCCCGACCCAACGTCTCCTCAAAAGGTTGTCGATCCTCCGCCGGTCGTCGTCCAGAATCCCCCACCAGTACAAGCCAAGCCGGTACCAAGGAACACATGCGTGCCGGTTGCAGGGCACCCGCCGGCATACCCGATGGGGGTGTGCTGCAGGGAGTGCTATGAAGGGCGCGGTGGGGGCCCGTGTTACAGCGGGTTCGGTAGGCCGCGCTCATGCTGCGAGGGGTGCGCTTCTGGAAGGCCTATTTACGATAGCTATGGCGGAGGGAGGAGCTGTTACATCAGCCCCTGTGAGTATCTAAATGAAGAAAATGCGACAGGGTGCAGTGTAATGTGAGGCGTTGCAGCTCGTGAATGGTGCCAGTGACGTTCATGCGCACCTTATGGTTATATGATAATAAGGGAGTTCTAATTACATTACAATGTGGCCTGGCCTCACTATAGAGCTCGGTTTTGAGGCTTCAAGGGCGTGACAGAATAATAATTCATTTCATTATATTCATCTTGGTTATAAGTTTTCAATAATTTAAGATAGTTAAAAACGCTCATTCCTCAATTCCAAAGCTCTGAGATGTCAATGTATGTTTCATTTTTGTGATTTTGAGGGACTAATGAACGAGTAGAAAAGTGAATGAAAACCCGATTGAAGGTATTGAAACACTCTATGACTGAGCATTACTGGGTTGAGTTGATAACTTTCGATCAGCAAGAGCGAAGAGCGAGACAAAAATAATTACTTCCTCCACCTTTTTAAGTGGATGTCTTAATGAAATACAAAAACTAAATTGTAGCATCGGGATTAAACAAGTACGAAATCATCTAACTTTTCTTTTTATGGAGGGTACTACAATCTTTAGCTAAGAGAGATGATATCTCGTAGTAATAAAAATAATCAGTAACTAACTTATTTGTAAGCTCTAATCGTATCCATGGCTTAATTAGTCATAAGAGAGTTGAAGCCTAAGCTTTACAACTATATAAGCTTCTTGAAGGTCAAAGTTTTTGGGGCCGTTCATATGCATGTCATAAACCCAATCTGAGTTTGGAAGTTGTTCACTTATTATTGGCACCATTTTTTTTTTGTTCGTTCGTTCGTTCGTTCGTTCTTCTTACTTAACTAGCTTACATTGTCTAGAAAGTGAATTGTCAGTATCCTAAATATAGAAGACACGACCTCATCATAATATCATCTCTAAGACTAGCTGACGACCCTTCCACAGGACCATAAAATCAAACTGAATCTAGGGTAGCGGCTCCATGTGATAGCCAACTACTAAGTTTAACAGTGTGGTCCCTCGTCTTTCTCAAGACAGGCTTATGGAGTAGCAACCCAGTTTAAAAGGCTCTTGACTATTTCCACATACAAAAAATGATCAAACTATCAATAATAGTTCAAAAGGCACTTGTTTGTGCTGAGAGTGCTTCAAATTCAAGTTTATGGTCTAATAGACTTGGACATATGAGTGTCAAAAGAATGTTGATATAGGTCCTTGTGAGAGATGCGTTATGGGCAAACATAAACGAGTTAGCTACATAAAGATTGTTAGAGAATTAAAGGAAGTGCGGTTGGAAATGGTCCATAAGAGACATTTGGGGACCATCTCCAGTTAGGACATCTTCATCAATTATTTGAGCAGGTATGAATTTATTTCTTGAAACACAAGTAAGGTGTGTTTGCCACCTTCAAGAAGTGGAAAACTAAAGTTGAAAATCAAACCGATTTGAAGATCAAATGCTTGAGGTTTGAAGATGAAGGAGAGTACAACAAGTTAGAATTCAAAGCACTTCATGTAGCTGAGGGAATAAGGTTAGCGAAGACAGTTTCCGGTAGTACAAGACAAAATGGTGTTGCTGGAAAAGAGTATGAGGGTTCATTCTAAATTATCAAAGACATTTTGAGTCGATGTTTTAGATACAACAACCTACTTGATCAATAGAGGGTTGTCTGGAGTTCAAGTTGCCAGAAGAGGTACGAATAGGAAAATAACTCAAGTACTCTCACTTGAGAACTTTTAGCTGCACTGTGTATGTTCATGCTGATCCAAAGAAGAGAGACAAGCTTGTACTTCATAGGCTATGGTTCTAACACGTTCGGGTACAAGTTTTGAGATGACAAGAACAGAAAAATCTTGAGATATTGTGATGTGACTTTTTATGAAAATGTCATGTACAAGGACAAAGAGAAGAAAGGTTTCGAGACAACGAATCAAGTGAGAGTTGAGAATGAGTTGTAAAAAACACTTAGTAATGGTATAGCAGATACTCAAAAAGCTTCTGAGACTATTGCTGAGGAACTAGATGTGGAGTAAGTGACACTATTGTTGAGGAACCAGACACCTAGTAGATGTTGAGAAGATCATCCCGAACTTATCAGAGTACCAGATAGGTATGTACCTTTATTGCACTATTTGGTGCGAACTGATAAAGGGGAACCAGAGTCCTTTAATGATATGCTAAAATTGGATGGTACAATCAAGTGGGAGCAAGCCATAAAGGATGAGATGAGTTGGATGTCTAGGCTTCAGAATTGTATTTCTCTTTATCAACTGAGATTGAGTGCGTGACAATAGCTGAAGCTAGAAATGAAATGATATGGATGACATGCTATCGAGGCAAAAAGCAATACGAGAAGGTTTCTTATATAAATAATCAGAGTGTCGTACAGGCAAAAAAGTCCTCTCACTGTTTCAAGCACAATCCGATAATTCGCCACCCAAAAACACCCCTCCAAATTACCAATGTCTTGCTACAGGTATACGCTTCTCAAGAAACCCAGAATCCGAGCGCCTCTGATGATGAAATCTCGAAAAATCCCGATGGGAAATCAGGTTCCTCGTCCAAAAGCTCCGTTTGTGTCAATCCCAGAACCCCCAGAGCTTCGAAACTTCGGAAGCAATCTTACGCAGCCAGGTATGCTTCTCTTTCGTGAATATCGGAGTTCTTGCTCTTCGGTACTTTCAGAAGCTATTGAAATCAAGGAAAGAGGCGATTCTTTTTAACGTGACACTGAAGATGTTTTGGAAGTGCCGAGATATGGAGGGTGCAGACAAACTGTTCGACGAAATGCTTAACAGAGGAGCTAAGCCTGGTAATCTGACATTTTCTACAATTATTACTTCTGTTAGGTTGTTTTCGTTGTTTAATAAGGCTATTAAGTGGTTTGTGAAGATGCCTAATTTTGTTTGTAATCCTGATGATGTCACAAACTGTGCTATGATTGATGCCTATGGACGTGCTGGTAATGTTGGCTTGGCTTTCAGCTTGTATGATCGTGCAAGAACAGAAAACTGGCGTATCAATCCTGCAACATTCTTGACATTGATTAAAATTCATGAAGTGGCTTGGAACTATGATGGGTGCTTGAATTGTGTATGAAGAAATGAAGGCTATAGGCATCAACCCAAACTTGGTTATATATGCTATTGGTAGGGCTAAAAGGCCATGGAAGATCAAGACCCTCTACAAAGAGATGATTAAAAATGGACTTTTGCCAAGTTGGACATCTTATGCTTCTCTTTTACAAGCCTATGGGGGAGCCAGATACGGTGAGGAGGCTCTCCTTGTGTACAAGGAGATAACGGAAAAGGAACTGCAGCCGAATGTTATTCTCTACAATATACTTTTAGCTATGTGTGCTGTGAGTCACACTCGCATTCTTACCGTAGCGGAACAAGCCCAGCAAATAAGTCAACTGTGAGAAATTCGTCCTTGGTGGACAACGTCGGCCTATGCTTGAGGCTCAGGTCACGTTTGTGAGAAATGTTTTAGAAAACGTGAGTGAGGAATACATTTGATTGAAGAATTGAAGAAAGCAACGTTATATGGCTATAAGAAAAGAAAGGAACACTACGGCTTAAATAGCATATAACTCAAGGTAAGAAGAATGATGTCACTTGTCATACCCCCCTCTAATACATTTTGGGGTATTTTAGCCGTGGCGAGTATAGACATGATTTTGGTGAACTGTCATATATTGACACAACATGAAATAGTAAAAACCTATCTAAGATGAAAGCATGTAAAAGGGATTTGGAACAAACATGCGACCATGGACAACACGTCTTGGACAAGTATGACCGGGACATCCGACATGCGCCATAGACAACACTCCTTGGACAAGCATGATCGTGACACTATATTGGCTACATCAATGAAGCCATTGACAATTCAGGGCTTGATCATGAGTTTATAATTAAAATTTTGTTAGCTACTATTGGGTATAAGTAGCGGGTGGAATTGGGAGAGAAGAAAGAGTATTTTTCACCATTGGCATGAGACCTTCTAGAGAAACCAAAATCAAAGTTACGAGAATTTTGCTCAAAATAGACAAATATCTTACCATTATGGAGAGTTGTGATTCGTATCTTACCATTATGGAGAGTTGTGATTCCTAACAAGATATTCTTCCGAGTTAGTAGAGTTAAAAGGCTTCTTTCACTAGGAGAGTTATTAAGGCTTCTTTCAGAGTTGATATTATTAAAAGCATTGAGTTTGATCTTTTAAAATTTTTATAATTTCTTGGTCAGAACTCTGTGGTGTGCAGTTAACATGGTACTGTCTTCTTATTTCTTATCTTTAATTCCCCATTGAAGTCGTTGGGTGTGTCTATTATATATTCATACAGGTCCTGAAGCAGTGTTATGCTTGGCACGTTGTCATCTCATGCCCTTCCAATGGACAAACATCTCAAACCCACATGCTATACATATTCACGAGACTTCCATTCCTTCTCCATTCATTGACAAAATGGGAAACTGCATCATCTTGCCTTGCGTTCACTGACCATCGAAGAAGGTAACGACCCCGAGTTAGCTACAATGGTCGATTCCGCAACTGAACAAGGTAACGACCCTCTTCTCGATGTTGTTCCATGCCTGAAAGAGCTTGAAAATCTTCTGGTTTACTTGAAGACAGCGTACTCGAGTGGAGGAAGAGCAAGGGAGGTGAAAATTGTTGTTACTAGGGAACAGTTTAAGTTGCTGTTGGCAAATGCAAAGAAGATGCAATCTGTACATGATAGAGGACCCCGTAGAGGGCGTCGAAAATGGCGGCCGACGCTGTCTGTAATCTTGGAGGAAGAAGAGTTTAGAACGAGGTCCGGGAAGGAAACTTGTGTAGCTTAGAGTGATGATGGAGATCAAGTAGAAGCTTAAGTAAGTGTGTTTATTTGGGCAGCCTTATTTGTGGCAGTCAGCCAAGCACAAATGGTCTTCCAAAGGCGGAGAAAGAAATGAAAAGAGGTTATATTTAAAGTAACATAGAAGGATACATAAATATAGTTGTAATGTTATATTATATTATATTTGGGTATAGAATTAGATAACCAAATCTAAAATAATATTTTTTTTTCAAGATTTTATTTTGAAAACTCAAAACAAACTTGATTTTGGTATTTAAAACTCATTTCCAACCTCAAAATACTCAAACTTACAGGCCTCACTTATAAATTAGAGGTATACATGAATCGAGGTGGGTTGGGTTGAGAGAATTTTTTGGTCCAACTCAAAAGTCCGAGTTAGTTGGATTGATAACCCTAACCCAACCCAATCAAAAAAATTTCACAACCCAATCTAACCCTCTATTTTCGGGTGGTTAGAAAAAGTTAATTTTTTTAAAAACTTTTTTTTATCTACCATTCCTAATTATTTAATAAAATCTTAGATAAATATTAAGAGTTTACAAACAAATACAAATCAATCTATCATCATTCAAATCAACAAATTCTTTATCAATAAAGGAGAATTTTAACGTCCTAACATAGTTCAACATTGTCATAAAACTAAAGATAATTAAATATCAGTATTTTCCAAATAATTAGATACTAAAAAAATACAAATTATGAAAAATTTTAACGTCCCAACCTAGTTTAATATAGAACTAAAGATAATTAAATTCCAGCAAAGATAATAAAAACATATTGATTTAGGAGCTGCAGTAAACACTAGAATGATAAAAACATATTGAGCAACTTTTAATATTGAGAGATCATTTACTTTCTACCAGAAGTCCCGTGAGAAGAAAAAAAATCCTAAAAGATCTTTACCATCACTTTCCCACCAACACAAAGACAAGAGTTCTCAAGTCTCAAAAAATGCATTCAAGAATCCATAGTAAAAAAACAATGCGACTCAAATATATGCCCGAAGCTTATAAGAAGACACACTTATGAACTTATTAAACAATTTTGTTTGAAAGTTGAATGCACCAATCAGCATCCCCTTTTAGAATTCTTTTACTCTCCAACAACTCTATATTCCTCAACATCCTATGATTACAATTTTTAATAATACAATTCCTTCTCTTAAAGTCCTTGTCCCTAAAAATCCTCTAAATATATAAAAGGATTTCATTTCATCACATTATTATCCACCCACAACATCAATATTCACAAGCCACATGGTTTACAGCCTAACAGTTCTTCCAAAACTCAACTTCAGAGATCAGATTATCAACACCAATAATAATAAGAGCATTGAATAAGGAAAACTCACATTATAATTGAAGCTTTTCATCAATGGAGAACAACCCATTGCTAATCCAATCCTTCTCGGTCGATATAAGCGCAGAATAATCGGATTGCTTATTGTTCTGAATTGTTCTTTGATTGAGCAAAGGATTAGAAAAAGAAAAGATTCCATTCTTTTCCTTCTTCATACCCTGCAATCCATATGAATAAAAAAAGTGATCAGTTCTAAGAGGACAAAGTAACCGACCAATCAAGCAAATGGACAACAATCTCATCACGTTTCCATTTGTTTCTTGTCTTATGACTAATTAACCCCCTTCTTACTTCAACTCCCGCACCAAAATATTGCTACCTGTACAAGGTCATTTCAGTATTTTCACATCAAAACTATGGCATCTTGAGAAAAAAATGAGAAACTGATCAGCCAAGCAAAGTTTGAGAACTTTTGAAACTCATCACTTATAAATACCATCTTACAAGAAAAGAAAAAGGACTCATAACAATCATCTCTCACACACATTTTCTCTATCTCTCTCTCTGTCTTTCGCCATGGACATTCAGGTCATTCAAACAAAGGTTCTCCAACACAAAGACCAGCTAACTGTTGTAGCAGCAGTTTCAGTGGTTATGTCATTGTTCGTATATGCAGCGCCCCGGTTTCTAAGTATTCTAGCATTCTTTTGGCCTCTCTTTCTCTCCACAGCCGTACTTTTGGTGGCAATGACAGCCTTTGGAGGAGGTTTCCAAGTTGGAACCGAAGTTCATGGTGAGAGAGCAGGTGAAAGGATCCTAGATTATGTAGCAGGACGGCCTGAATACGCCGAATACCAATACAAGTACCAATAAAAGATCATTCGTCGGTTGTCAGTCGATTTAGACATTGATGTCTTGAAATTCATCTATGTATGCTCACTTTGTATGCTGAAACTACCAAAGAATTTAGTGTAATAAACACAACATGTATTCAATTCTAAAATGGTTTGTAAATAGAATCGGAGTGCAATAATGCATGCATTCATCACATATTCTGTTTGAATCCAAATGGGTAAAGGAAATTTCTGATGAATGATCAGTTAAAAGTTAGCCATGAACATGAGGCTTATATCTACTAAGAAAGTGGACAAATTAAGGAGCAAGGATCACCTCATCGATGCTCTACGTGAGCTATTGTCTGATATGAGTTCGGGTCAATACGCCGACGACTATGAAGTTACTAAATCAGCTTCTGTTAAGTTTCCTGATTGATCAATGTCAAGCTTATAAAAAGTGTCAAGTATTGGAGAAACATCTTCCTGATTGATCTTTCCCATTTCCTTCAGTTTATATACAACAAATTCAGCAGCACTGATATATCAGGTTGTCAAGAAGTCCAAGATACATGCAAGAATTGAATAAAACAACAGAACTATGGTTAGGATATGGGCAATGGGGAAGAAATATAAAGGAAAATCAGGCTTACCTTACTACTTTATCATGATCAAGGTCTGCTTCTTCGAGATCAGAGAAAGTGAGGTCTCGGGAGAGAACCCTATTCACTAGTGATTTCTGTCTCCTCTCGGCGCGTAATTCGGCAAGGTACAGAAAGAACTGTGCCAAGCAGATGGTACTGCTCATTATCCAAATGACAGCAAAAACACGACCAGTTGTTGTAGAGAAGCTCTTGTCCCCATAGCCAAGAGTTGTGATTGTGGAACAAACACAATAAAAGGCATCTGTGAACTCAAACTTCTCAACCAGAATCAAGAAAAGAATACCGACAACAACGAGAACCCAAAGGACGATTCCAGTCATAATGATTTTGTATTTGAGTTTGTGTGCCACAGACTCTCGAAGGAGCTCACCGGAGCTGATCTTTTTGCTCATGAAAATGGCCTTAACCAGATGAATTTCCTGCTTTTCGACAATGTAATTGGCCGCCCTGCTAAGAAGCATCCCACCAAGAGTAATTCCAGTGAAGACATAAGCACAAGCAAGTAGTTTTGCACCAATGCTATTAGGAACAAGATCACCATACCCAACAGTGGTCATTGTCACAACACAAAAGTAAATGGCATCAACAATCCCGTTTGTTTTCTTGCCATTGATTTGATCTCCAACAAGGAAGAAACAAAGTGTTCCTCCTCCCAAATAAATAGCCAGCACAACAAATACTTTCCTAAAACTAACTTGTTTAACAATCACACGTTGATGAGACGTTTCATCACCGTTTCGTGGTTGATTGTTATGTTCTAATGAACGTGAAAAAATTTCATGATGGATCGATTTTCTTCTCTGGAGAGAATTGCTCTTTTTGGAATCGGACAGCTTGGGAAGCAAGGATTGTTCAACATCACCAGACTCCATCTCAAAATCAACAAAGATCTTCTAACCAGATTTAAATTCTTGATTCCTAACTCAGAAGAGACTAATTTTTGGGGATAAACATAGAAAATCTCTATCCAATGATAGTAATCCACAAGCAGAAACCGGTGAAAGTTCAATTTTCCCAACCTTATTACATCATTTGAGGTCAATTTCAAGCACTTTCAAATATCACCAGAAGAATTATTGTTCTTAAACATAACAAAATCCAATGCAAGCAACAGCGATCCTCACATTTTATCAACAAATGCTGGAAAGAAAAGATAAGGGTTAAAGGACTTGATGATTATGAACAGACAGTACCATTAATTCCGCAGTAAGCTTAATGATTTCCCCCTGAAAATCAGACAAAAGTTCATGGGAAATCAACAGTAAACAGAGATATCAGAATAGTTCAAGACTTGGGTTTAAATGATGAATGTGTTCGTATTTAGAACGAAAAAAACTGCGTCGACTTTATTTAGAAGAGAACAAACGAAGAGTGAAGAAAAGCGATGTTTGAGAAATTGATAAGAAACCCAACATTCACTCTCTGGCTTCCACCTGCTTAAATCTTCACCACTGGGCATTAACAGGCCACCATTTTCCCGCAACTCGCTACCTGAAAACCACAAATCGTAACAATTAGGCTAATGCCTTATACAACAACGACAATAATCATTTCCAACTTGAACAATGGCATCAGATTCTTACATGAAATCAATCCGCGGAATGAACAATCACTTCGGCGAGAACTGAGAGGATCGAAACAACAAATTTACACAATCGAACTCGTCATTAACAGTATATTTTATTTATTTACCGTTATATATTTTTTTCTATTTTTAGGTATTAGTGGATAGTTTGTATCCTATATCATACTTTCGATCCCAATTTTATTTCTCTTTCTCATTCTTAACATGGTATAAGAGCACCGATCCTTAAATATCAAAATTTCCTTTATGGCGGAATCATCCAAATTCAGCTTCAAAATTTCGGATATTGATTTAACACATCCGTACTATATTCATCACTCTGATCAGCCAGGATATTCACTTGTTCCAATCAAATTAAATGAAGCAAATTACCAATCCTTGAAAATCAGTTATGCATGCTCTTATTGTCAAGAAGAAAATTGGCTTCATTGATGGCACAATTGAGGAACCGTCGTCACAAGATGCAAATTCAACCGAATTCGAACTCTGGAATCAGTGCAACAGTATGATAATATCTTGGTTAACTCATTCCGTTGAAGCAGATATCGCTAAAGGCATTATTCACGCCAAGACAGCTCATCAAGTGTGGGTTGATCGCAATTTTTCAAATACAAAACTCGATAGCAACGATGTCACAAGGAACCATGGCACTGTCAACATATTTCACCAAGCTCAAAGCACTCTGGGATGAACTGGAAGCGTACCGCACACCATTTACCTGTAATCAACGTCAAATACATATTGATCAACGTGAAGAAGACAAGTTGATGCAATTACTCATGGGGCTCAATCAGTCTTATAAAACGGTGAGATCTAACATATTGATGATGTCTCCATTACCAAATGTGAGGCAAGCCTATTCATTACTTGTACAAGAAGAGATGCAGCGTCAGGTAACTTTCAAACCTACTGAGAATTTCTCGATTGCATCAGCAGTGCAGAAGAAAACAATATATTCAAAATTCGCCAAGGACAAATTGTGTGAACACTGCAATAAAAGTGGTCATGCAATCAATGAGTGTTGAATTCTTAAGTTTCACTGTAAGTTTTGTGATAGAAGGGGCCATACATAAGATAGGTGTCGACAGAAAAATAATTCTGGAAGGACAAGACAAGTCAATCAACACAATAACCGTGGATATCGATCATCTGCAAATATGGCCGATGTTTCACAGTTGAATACAGAAGAACAGTCACCTAATTCCATTCCAAATTTTTCTTCTGAGCAATTACGACAGATAGCACAAGCCTTATCTGCAATCAATCATCACCCTTCTGGTAATTCTGACAATCACATCAATGTTGCAGGTTTGTTTCCCATATCTACATTATCTATTAACTCTGCGAGTTCTAATTCATGGATTCTCGATAGTGGAGCTACAGATCATATAGTATCAAAATCTTCTGTTATGACTGAACCAAAGGCTGCCATCATGTCTACAATAAATTTGCCTAATGGAGAGACAACACGTGTGTCACATACTGGCAATATTTCCCTTAGCCCTAACCTTAAATTAAACAACGTTTTATGTGTGCCTTCATTCAATTTAAACCTAATGTCGATTAGCAAACTTACCAATAACTTGAAATGTTATGTCACCTTCTATCCTGATTCTTGTGTTATGCAGGACTTGGCTACGGGGAAGATGATTGGCTCGGGTAAACAATTTGGAGGTCTCTATCATATTTCTTCATCTTCAATCAAATCTTCAGCTCATCAAGTATCTCAGTCATCTGATTTGTGGCATTTACGCCTAGGTCATCCTTCTTTTTCTCATTTTAAATTTCTAGCGGATCAATTGCATCTTAATAATGCGAGTTATTCTCATAATTGTAGTATCTGCCCGTTAGCAAAACAAACTAGGTTGTCTTTCCCAAGAAGTTCAATAACAACCCATTCTGCCTTTGATCTGATACATTGTGATGTTTGGGAACCACATAAAATTCCTACCCATTCTGGTTTGCGTTTTTTTCTCACTATTGTTGATGATTTTACTCGATGTACTTGGGTTTTTTTAATGCAACATAAGTCAGAAGTACATCATTTGTTAATGAACTTTGTTAAATTCGTTCAAACTCAATTTCATACTACTATCAAGATAGTTCGATCAGAAAATGGGACTAAGTTCCTATCTTTGCAACCATTCTTTACTTCTTGTGGTATTGAATTTCAGTGCACTTGTGTCTATACTCCACAACAAAATGGAGTTGTAGAACGTAAGCATCGCCATATCCTAAATGTAGCTAGGTCTCTTCTTTTTCAGTCACAGGTTCCACTTAATTTTTGGGGAGAGTGCATTTTAACGGCTGTTTATCTTATAAATAGAACGCCATCACCATTATTATCTAACAAGACACCCTTTGAAGCACTCTACAAACGACCACCTACATTTCATCATCTTAAAGTTTTTGGTTGTAAATGTTATGCAACTATAGTACATCCTAAGCAAAAATTTGAACCTCGGGCAATTCCTTGTGTTTTCGTAGGATATCCTTGTGGTCATCAAGGTTACAAGTTGTATGATATGCAATCTCACAAATTCTTTATCAGACGTGATGTTAAATTTTGTGAAGCTGATTTTCCTTTTTCATCAGCTTCACAAACTTCGACATTAGCTCCTTCGACTCCTGTTGTACCACTTCATGATCCATCCTACTCAAACATCCATCCTCCACCTTCTATTCCTTCACCTCCTATTCTTCCTTCACCTCCTATCCCTTCACCTACTACTCCGTCGTCTCCTCCACCTTCTCCAGATTTGCCCACTAATTCCAATCCTATCCCACCTGATATATCAGCTCCACTTCGACGTTCTACTCGTACTAAACAGTCTCCAGCTTGGCATAAGGATTATGAGATGTCTTCTGGAGCCAATCATTTAACCTCTAGCTTAAGTCCCGGCACTGACACCAGGTATCCCCTTCATCATTACCTTTCATTCTCTCATTTTTCTCCTACTCAACGTACTTTTCTAGCTCTTATTACATCCCAGACAGAACCTAAAACCTATGACGAGGCAGTTGGCGACCTGTTATGGCAGCAGGCTATGAATGATGAAATTGCAGCTTTGGAACGTAATCATACATGGTTTCTCGTTCCTCTACCACCTGGTCATAAAGCTATTGGTTGTCGTTGGGTGTACAAAATTAAATACAACTCTGATGGTTCTGTTGAACGTTATAAAGCTCGACTTGTAGCAAAGGGATACACTCAGGTTGAAGGTATTGATTACACAGAAACATTTTCCCCTACAGCGAAACTTACTACACTTCGTTGCTTACTCACTGTTGCTGCTGCTCGAAAATGGTTCACCCATCAGTTGGATGTTCAAAATGTCTTTCTCCATGGTAATCTAGACGAGGAAGTTTATATGTCTTTACCACCAGGTCTTTGCCGACAGGGGGAGAATACAGTATGTCGGCTCCATAAATCTCTTTATGGATTAAAACAGACTTCTCGCAATTGGTTCTCCATATTTTCTACAACTATACAAAATGCAGGCTACACTCAGTCCAAAGCAGATTACTCTTTGTTTACTAAGAGTAAAGGTACTTCTTTCACTGCAGTTCTAATCTATGTTGATGATATTCTATTGACAGGCAATGATCTCGAAGAAATTTAATATCTCAAGACTAGTTTACTCCAGAAATTTCTTATCAAAGATTTAGGAAATTTGAAATATTTTCTAGGCATTGAATTTTCTCGATCTAGAAAAGGAATTTTTATGTCTTAAAGGAAGTATGCTCTAGACATCCTTCAAGACACAGGTCTTATAGGAGCACATCCAGACAAATTTCCTATGGAGCAAAATCTGAAACTTTCTTTAACCGAAGGAGAGAAGTTGAATGATCCAAGTAAATACAGACGGTTGATTGACAGATTAATATATTTGACCGTCACTAGGCCTGACATAGCTTATTCAGTTCGTATGTTTAGCCAATTTATGCATGAACCAAGAAAACCACATTGGGAGGCAGCTCTTCGAGTTCTGAGGTACATCAAAGGCACTCCTGGTCAAGGACTTCTACTGCTATCGGAAAACAATTTAAGATTACAAGCATATTGCGATTTTGACTGGGGTGGTTGTCGAACTTCCAGACGATCTATTTCTGGGTTCTGCATTTTCCTCGAAAATTCAATTATTTCTTGGAAGTCTAAAAAGCAGACTAATGTGACCAGATCATCAGCAGAAGCCGAGTATCGAGCTATGGCAAATACTTGTTTAGAGTTAACTTGGTTAAGATACATTCTTCAAGACTTGAATGTTCCACTGTCCGAACCAGCATTATTATATTGTGATAATCAAGCAGCATTACATATAGCAGCCAATCCAGTTTTATAGTTTGAGAAAAGTTACAAGCTGGAATCATCAAACCGTGTTATGTTTCGACCAAAATGCAATTGGCAGATGTTTTTACTAAAGCTTTGGGAAGACAGCAATTTGACTTTTTGAAGGACAAGTTGGATGTGATTGACAAACACTCTCCAACTTGAGGGGGAGTAATAAGAAGATATTTTGCAGTAATAATTAGTTAGAATATATCTGAGATATTTAGGGAGTTGTTAGTATAGATTTGATTAACCGTATATTTTATTTATTTACAAGATTTACTTAGTTATATATTTTTAGGTATTAGTTGATAGTTTGTATCGTATTTAAACTAAACCTGAATGAAGATCATACTTTCGATCCCAATTCTATTTCTCTTTCTCATTCTTAACACAATCCGATTTCTTGGCGTCTAATTAAGAGAATAATTACTCAATAATGAACGATTTCACCAAACTTCATCCAAATCCCAAGAGAAAATTTAGTTGATCAAATAGTGAGCTTATAACATGATCTCATCGGTGAAAAGAAAGTAGATGAGTAGTCTTTTGGGTGATGATTTTGATTTCACGTACTTGAACAATAAGCTTAGCTTAATTTATAGGGGAATCATAAACAAACTAATTATTAAAAAAATTAGTGGTATTTAGAGTGGAGATGAAATTACACGTGTAAAAGGAATATTTGATCTTCTTATAATTATAAATAATACGTGAAAGATTTAATGATTATATGTATAAATACGACATATCTT